CAGTTCTTTCTCTACCTTACCACATGTTCACATAGAAAGTCCGCAAATGAATAACAAAAACAATGCGATCATGACAGAAGTGGCAGGAGTAACCTAAGCTACGCTAATTTTTTTAATTACGCATTTGTCAGTAGTAGTACAAAAGGAAGTTTATATGCCCAACATGCAAGCATAACTAGATATTCAACTAGGAAACCAAACTTTCAACAGAACAGAAGAGATGTTATGACAGTCAGGTGAAATTTGTCTGAGAATGATCAAGATTTGTCTGCTCGACCAAACAAAACTGACGCATTGTAATATTCTCATAAGAGGCCAAAATTTTTCTGATCAACAACGCCAGGTCTCAATTGCAAGTCAACACAATCGAATGTGCTCATTTTTATAAGTAGAATCATGGTTCATCTGCATCATTACAAGCAGAGACTAAACACTGTCATTCAGCATACCAGACTTAGGAAGACTGTGAAGCACGTGATACATTTCAAACACTCAGGCGATACATCTGTATTACCTGCCAAGGGGTTCAATCAGAGACAAATGATCCGATGAGAGTGAGGACATCTAGAACATCAGAGACATATTCTACCTGAGGCATATACTGACAACTTTGTAACAACCTAAGTTGTTTCTAAAGAAGTTCACATCATCATTTTTTTCAGCTGTATCTGACCCAGTAAAATCCGTTTCTGACCTCTTCACGATATAGCTACACATTCTGCACACCTTGTGCACGTCACACATCGTTGTTCTCAATTTCTGCTTAAACGGATACTGAAGTTTCTTCGCTCAGATCGTACGTATTTTTTGCAAGTAAGATTTCAATCACAGACGAAAATGTCTTTCGAAATCAAGCCTGTCCTAGAGTTGACGCGTCAAACGGGAGGCAAGGAAGGAGTAGAAACCTCCATGTCTCTCATAGAAATCATTCTAACTTATGAGCAGAAGAGTATGACAGGAGAGTGGAGTTTTTTCTTGATTGAAAACAATCAAGTGAAATATGCATGAGTTTCTCTTAGATTGTAACTCTCAGATTCAACTCAAATCTCAGATCTTTTCTTCATGTCATTCAGATCTGCATGCAGCCTTGAAACTAGCAGCAAGAACAAAGTCATAGTAAGCCGAAAACAAGAAGAAACATGGATGTAACATGCACGTGTGTATGTTCTGTGATTCTACGTCGAGTATGAGCTAAAAGAGAAATATTAATGTGTGTGCATGCAAATAGAATCTTCCCTGCAAGTATCCATTTCATGCACAGACCATGCTCCAGTTCATGGTCAGTGTATGAATCAGTATCAGGAGGGTGTCCAACACGACCTAAAGATCTTGACGCCCTGCAGCTTACGTAACTCTGAAAAGTAAGAATATGTGCAAACTACTTCAGATTTGGTTTCATTTTTTAAGCCTATCTGATCATAAAACAACATGCACCATATCATGTGTGGCTCATAACATGCACTATAGAAGTCAGTGTATTAATGTTTCTCATCCCCAAATGCACTTGGCTCATTGCTGAACAGTAACTTGCAAATTAAGCAGAGATTTTCAGAAGAAAACAAAAAGCAGTGTCATTGCAATATAAGTAAAATTATCACACAGGAGAATCGGACTAATGACTAGCCACTGAAGTAGTACATTCTACTCCAGCTTTGAAATTTTATATTGAGGGGTTTGCTGTTCACACGTTTCGTAACATTCACATATTACAGACTTTTAGCATATCTTGGAGACACATTCAGCTTCATTGCTTCAGGAGCTCACTATCATCCATTTTCTGACGGAGATGATTTTGACAGAGAACAATTCCTCACTAACCCGGAAAACTTACTGCATCGGAAAAAAATTAAGCTGTAAAAGCAGAAGAGAATCTCGTATACTCACATAGTCTCATTGGCATCCGAGAAACTCACCACCTCGCTTCTTGAATCTCAACAGCTCTTCTTGAGTCTACTATGACATTGAAATACATGGGCGCACCTTTCTCTCTTATTATAAAGGGAATCTCATATGCTCCATATATTAGAGTTTAGGGTAAAGCATACTCAACCATATATTGCATAGGTACTATTTCCCCGTGTTTTGCTTCATCCCTGGTAAACTTGCAAGTCATATACGGTTAACCAACCTTACAACTCAAGAGATTGACGGTGCAAAATATGAACATCAGAAGAGTGGACTCGTCTTCATTCGCATCTATACGTCAAGTTATCGCAACACATCATAAGGTGGTTGGCTGCAGGTGAATCTTCACTATTGGAAATGAAGCTGTCGAGGCTGAAGAGAAGCAATGGATCCTATCCCAGAGAAAAGTGTGTTAATCATGTTCTTCCAAGACATCTACAATCTGCTACCTCTCAATATCATGAAAGAAGATTCTTTTTCTCAGTAGAATGCAAGATATCCATACTCCCGAAATCAATCCACTATCAATTTTCCGTCCACAACAATGGCTTTACAGCCAAGTCATGTTTCATAGTCCTTCATCTACTACAGTTCCCGACAGTAACCAGATTCGTTCCTTGACAGTGCGTGTGGTTACTTCTGATTACTGCCACTTCTTCATTGTCATATCATACCTCCCTCTAATCTCATGATTAGTTCGTCTGTGATACAATTCTGAACTTACAATCGGGAGCTTCAGCAAAAGCAGGTACAATTTTGTGCTGTACTTTCAAATTTGCTCCACAGAGCAAGTGTATTTTGATGGTTGATATAGTATTCGATCATGGTGGCTTTAAGGATTATATGAAAATGTTTATAAGCGTGCTTCATAACTTACTCATAATCTTATACCGAAAGGCCATGGCTTTTCGGTATAAGGTTATTTTATAAGGTCAAAACTTTTCACATATATTAAATTTGCATCTACTATCAGCATAAATGGCTCTGGTCCATGTTGACCTTCTTTTTTTATGGACCAATGTAAAGTTTTTGAATGAAAGTATAGTACTTTAAAATCCAACTCTAGCAAATGCTTGAACTATGATGTAATTTGATCTTTAGAATACTCTATACTGGATCTACGCATTTATAGAATGTAAATTGAATTAAGGGTTCAACAAATGCAATCTTACTATTTTTCACAAGTTGAATATTAATGTCGAGATATCATCTTCAATTTTCGAATATAAAAATATTATAAAACTATATTACCTATGAAAAACTTTGTTCAAATGATATGATTATAATAATAGTTTTATAATCATTTTTTATATTGTTACGACAAAGAATACAAAAGGTAGAACTACAATTCATTGGACACCAAGATTCTTCGAACATTGGAGAAATGATTACGGAGGAGGGTGGTAACCTAGAAAACTATCCCTGTGACTAGGCATGGAGGAAGAGCGGAGGAAAAGTGACATGTGTCTGTGTGAGTGATGAGGATTCTTGGTCGTGTGAGAGGATCAAGGTAGTCGGTCGGGACTATGGCCACGTGGACGTATCGCATGACATCACGATCATGGGCGAGTTGTAACTTACCAGCTCTTGTGATCATTGCGTTGAAGACTGACAGTCACTTCTGACCTGAACCCTGTCAGTGACAGCCCTCCCACGTCAAGATACATCGATGGAGGGATCAAGTCCTCATGTTTTCCGTGAAGTGAGAATTTTATCCTATCGCATATGGGTTGACTTGAACACCAAACGATAGATTGGACGCTGGATTCTATCAGATCTTGTTTAGCCAAAAGAACTCTCGTTCATTCTCCAATATACAAATATTTTCTCCTGTAATATGATATGCTCATGACCCTATGTTCCGATACTTATGAATACTTGGACATGAAATTTGGTATACTACAATCTGCTTTCTCTAGAGAACAATTACTAATTATGAGACGGAAACTATTGATTTAAAAACATGTTATGGAGATGATACTGTAATAGATGGTCAGGGGTATATTTTCATTAAAATTTATTATAGCCATTTATTATATTTGAGTTAATTTCTTTTCATTTATGCTGTAGATTGTGGGTTATGTTCACTACAATTTTTCTATATAAACATAGTGCTGTACCATCATAAGAAAATGCTACTGAGTATCTGGTGAAGATAATCATCGGGTACTATTTCACTTGACATTGTAGCGAACTTTTCGCCTTTAGACTTTCTAACACATCAAACGTTGAAATTTAGAGTTCAAATCTAAGTATCTAAGTAACTAAAGTTTTCATCCGCGCATCATTTTCAACTCTTATATCATTTATTCACAGCGGTTATTAATGCATATGTATTGTACATGCTAGAATAAAGTAGCGAATAATATGCCACATACAAATTCGCCTGCAAGTTTGAGGAAATGGTAATTATTGCACTCTGCTGAAAATGACTTTACTATGTCCGTTGAAGTGGTGGAAGAGTTTTCAGCTACACTAGGCCTTTGTTAATGTTCAAAATATCCTGTTATGAAGGTTATTCCTGAATATGGCAATATTTCTCTCTCGCGATTCGGAACAGGTCACATCATTCCAGCAGGTCTTAGTTGCTTGGTTAGAAATTTGTAATTAAAATACGAATCGTTGTGTGCAAACGTGCCAGTTGTGTAAGAAGGTGAATAAGTTTGAGTAATTATTATCATGATTATTTTTTCCGCTCCATGATACCATAACAGCTTTTTAATTGTTTTGTCCGGAAGTAATGTTGTTGACACATTTGACATTTCAGTGTAAATTGTGTGATGGTTATGTTCACCACACTTAGTTGTAATTATAAATTTCAAGATGTGCGTGCAGATTGGGTTTATCGTCAAAAGTTAGCAGATATTTTTCTCCCGATGTGCATGCAAAATTTCCTTTGTCGTCAGATATTCAGATACTTTTCTCCCCATGTGGCTGTGAATGCCATCAGGACTCTTTCAACCTGGGAACAGCTCTGATGTTGAATTACTCAATCTTATTCCAGGATGAAATCGTAAATAAACAAAACCGAAGAAACTATCAGCAGAAAACAATCTGTTTTAGTTTGCTCCAACCAGACCATAACATCTCTCATCTCTTGCCCATAGTATGTTAAAAAAGCTTTTTGTGACTGGCAAATCAGCCTTCGCGTTACAACGTCGCGCACAGGAGCCCGTTTGATCCATTGGGCGCCCTCCTCACTAGACATCTACACTGCAGATTTCTGTGGTCGCTATCACATTCCAAAACTCAATGGAGGACCACTAATGGCTCCACTTCTAGACAACTTGCGTGCATTTTGCCAAGTTCCCAGTAAACTGCTCCAATACTCAGTACGAGCCTTCGATGGCACTACCTTGAGTTTACCACATGGTTATAACCAAACCAGAGAAATGAAAACATGTTGGGAAGATCAAAAAAGGGAACAAAATAAACTTGGGAACAGAAGCACCGGAGTGATTCTGATTAGACACCAAGCAGTCCCACTATACGGTCATTGCTACAGTAACTCCTTTGTTACATTCTGTTCTCAACTTTCTAAGTCATGGCCGAGAAGACTAATTCTTCTACCACGTCCACTAGAACAACCTACACAACGACCTCAGAGCAGACAGCCACCGGGAGCACGGCAGTCACAATCAGCTGGCTCTTACAATTACTTGCCACCTAGAGTGGGAAACTGGCCGGGGTCCTCAATACGAGGGGCCGAGACTCGTCGGGCACTGTTGAATGCCCCACCCGCGGCACCACCTCTGAAGGCACCGCGTTCTCCATCCGCAGCGCGCCCACGACCACGTCCGCGACCGCGAGCTCCGCTATTTCCATAGCTAAACTTTTCTCCCTCGGCGGGCTTGAGGAAATCGTTGATGCTCACAGGCTGCAGGACATTGAGAAGATCGTACATTAACCGTGAGTAAGAGGATATGATCCCATGACATTTACGCACTTTACAATGAAAGGAATCAAAGCTGCACTCAGTTGAGACAGACTTTTGCCACAAACTGCCATTTTAACGAGATATTAGACATCCCACACGGCGAAGCATTTCTTCCAGGAATATTCTTCGCCTCATGTCACATACCTTTTTCGATTTATCTTCCTTCTCTAGGGCTTCCTTTTCCTTCTTCTTCTTCTCCTTGTCGGCGCCCTAGATTCCAAACTCAAGATCAGGGACAAACGTAGACAGCAGAAACAATCCTCACATGACTACGTAGATCCAATCGAATTAACTTGATCTCAGGAACGATGTCAGAACCTGTTTGACAGTTTACCGATGCAATAACAGACTGTGATATCACATTCTACAAAACCATTCAACTCATAACGGAATACTTATACAAAGGCTGCCGCTTACCAATTTAATAAATACATCTTCTTCAGTTGACTTCTTGTCGACCATTTGCATGGTCTCAAAAGCCTTGTCAGCTTCTACTTTCCTTTCTTCCGCTTTGCTTGCGGCAAGGGCTTTGCGCTTCTCCTCAAGAATCTTCTCATACTCATCCAAAGTCATCTCCTGCAATCGACACCAGTTCTCAAATAAGACTCATACGTATCCAGACATTCAAATCACTGAAAGGGTTCCATAGCGAACATTTCTCCGAAACAGGAGAAGCACTCAGAACATGTGCTGATGCGTACAGAAGGAGCATTCACAAAGAGAAAACGACAAAAAAATTCACGGAGCAAGCTTGCGAATGCCCTTCGTCAACTTAGTCTAATCTGTATGAGCTAACAAAACAATCGAACGTCAGGACCTGTTAGTGCAGGACCAAAAAATCTTCCTTCCAACATAAACTCATTATACAGTGCTAACTCACATTGTCTTCCTCCTCCTCTTCTTTCTTCTCGCCATCCTCAGTGACTACGGCGTCAACATGGTTCTCGCCTTCGGCCTTCTTATCTTCGCCGGGAGTGACAACCTTCTCCTCCTCTTTCGCAGCAACCTCCACAGGTTCTCTGATAGATTCAACACGAAAAGCGATAGTTAGAAGAACACTCAACCTGTAAATACCAAAAATGCTTGAGAAATCTAGTGTATGCCTACAACCAATCGCTCGTACGCTAAAACTTAAAAGAAAATCCGCATCTGGTTCTGGACACTCACTGCATGACACCCTGATCACCATCAGCTCCCCAGTTTGCTCGACCAGAACCATCTCGCTTCATCTCATTGCTGCAACGCAAATTCAATTATGACTTTGTCCCAAAATCCAAAGTTGCTTATACCCTTGGAAGTGCACTCGACTGCAGTAAAGGTGTGCCAGTGACACGGATTTTTCCGAGGGCAAATAAAGACTGAAAACAATACGAACTCCCTTTTCTCCCACACTAACAAACATCTGTGTCTCACGTGAGGAAGGTGTCCAGCTCGAGGATGACGTACTTATACCAAGACTCTACAACATTCAGTAAGACAAGCCTCATTCTCATGATTGAAAAACGACTCCCTCAAAGCAGGCGAGTGTGCATACCCACGGCCAGATCCGCTGTGACGATCATGCTCGCGGCGTCCTCGACGACCCTCATCGTCTCCTCCATAGCCACGGTCACGACCTCCACGGCCACGGCCGCCGCCGCCTCTGCCCCGGCTACCTTCAGAAGACCAGTTTTCGCCGTCCTCTCCACGAGGTGCCCTCTCATTTGCACCACCGAAGCCTCCGCCTCCTCCTCCAGCAACATAACCGACGCGATTACCTCCCTGATGGCCATCGCTGTTCTCTCGGTTGTTGCCGCGGTCATTGTAGTTTCCGCGATCCCGGGAGAAGCCATCGCGGTTCTCGCGCTGAAACCCTCCATCGCGATCACCGCCATACCCACCGCGACCCCGGCCAGTTCCACGGCCTCCTCCACGTCCACGCCCACTTTCGTTGAGGGCTCTCTGCTCCTTCACTGTTTAAAGAAGGAGGAAAGTCAGTCCAATCCCATCAACCAGAGCACACATTTAAGATTCGATAAATCGTTTGTACTTCTTGTGAGTAGGGACTTGGAACAGAATCGCATGAAATTCTACGCAGCCTATACTAGTTATAAGTACCGAATGCAATCAAGAAGGGAATCATGGGGTCATGAGACGTCCTGCTAGAGGGCAGCGCAGGCACACTACTCATTAATCAATTAGTTCGGGTGATGGTGTTAAGATAGACGGACAGGAGGTCGGCTAAAAAAGTCTGGCAATTACAATACACTGGATGGAGCTTGTGAAGAGGATGAGTTCCGTGAGTAACATGTAGGGCTTGAGCCGGCTTTCTGGAGATCTGAACATTCCAAAGAATGTGGTGATCCCGCAAGGCTGAGTGCAGACCACGTGGTCTTAGACGGCCATCATAACAAAGGAAAAGAGGTCCTCAAGTCATCTATTTAAATACACGAACTCCCATCTGGAGCCAGAAAGAAAGCACGGGCTAACAGTTTACCCCGAACTCCGATCCCTGCTAACAGACTTAGCCAACTCCAGTCCACTATGGACATGGACAGAGCACAATACTGTAAAGGATGTCAGCGACAATGATGAGCCAATTCTCAGAACACGGTATTTCCGGCATCACTCGGTATCCAAGTGGCCAGCTACCTTGCCCTTCCATCCCCGTCCAATATCAGACAACGTGAAATGTGCAGGCCCTGGGAAAAATAGGCAAGACAGAACAAACGATGGAACACTTGTTCCGTCCGGGATGTGACAGACAACCTGTTCTCATCTGTCAGACGTAGAACTGCTTTACACCGAGCCAGACGAGGTGGTAAAATGCAGCCAAGACGCGTCAAGAAATGCTAGCTGAAGCATTGGAAAAATTCTCACCCGCTTCAGCTGGTGGAGTCGGCTTCGAAGGAAGCCGGGCTGTGGCCTGCGCTGCAGCAGGAGTCTGCTGCGATTTCTTGGTAGCGGGCTTCTCCGCAGGGGGAGGCTGAGTGGCTCTAGCAATGACAGCCGTGGGTTCTTCATTTTCATCGTCGCCCAAAAGGTCGAAATAGTTGGTCGACGACATGGCTTTGCCGCTGTCAAGCAATCCGCCTCCTCAGGCTCAAGCTTTCCCCTCGGTGGTGTCTCCTTTCACCTCCTCATCAGATTCCGCCCTGTTCCTTCTCCCGGCATTCTTTTCTTATCCTCCCTGCCATAAATCGCCTTACTCCTCACTACAACTCACACCACGCACACCAAAGAACACAGCTCCCCGCCTCTCCTCTCGCACAGCAAAATCTCTGTGCAAAAACTCCAATCCACGACTGGTACCGCTGCTCTGCTCGCTGCTGCTCGACCCTCTCTCTCTCGACTCCGCCGCTAGCTTCTGAAAGGAAATGAATCCACTGGAAAAGAACTAGTTACTCGGGGCAAAAACCTAAAAGGCCTGCCTGCCTCTCCCCTCCCTCCCTGCCTGCCCGCTCGCTCCCTCCCTCGCTCGCTCGGCTCCCTCGGCTCCCTGCCTGACTCCACCTCCCTCCGTCTCTTCCCTCCCCTCCCTCTCGCTTGTGTGGCTGGTAGATTGAGAAGGATAAATGGATGGATGGATGGCAGAGAATTCCGACGCAACCCAAGCCAAACCAGAGGCAACAACCGACAACTGAGTCGATCTCCCCTCCCCTCGCCTCCTGCGGCTCCAAGCTCACTCGCTGTGGTAGCCCCGGTCCTAGCAGCGCAAGTAGCGGGCAGAATAGCGGCGCTTCTGGAGCCCCCGGCTCGCTTCGGCCCCGCTGCTGAAGGAGATGCGCTGGTCGCGGCTGCGTCCGGAGGGCAAAGCTAAAGGACGGACGGACACAGCGGATCCCCGCTACAACCTGCGGCGAAATACGAAGGCGAGCACCGCGCTTCGGACTCGGTCTCTCGACGCTGATGGCCGCCCCGCGCTCTCTATCTCCCCTAAACCCTTACTACCACGCTCTGTCCGCGCCCTCGCCGCCCGATTCCCTCCATCTGACGGCTTCCAGCTCTCTAGACTTGACCTAAATGCCCCGCGCTCTTTCGACATTGAATGCGTTCTAGGGTCTTCCGAGCCATGGCTGGGCCGCTCCGGCTTCCAGCCAAATCCCCAACCGAGCCGAACCCAACCCAACCCAACCCAACCAAACCAAACCAAACCAAACTAAAGTAAACCAGCGCGCAGCGCAGCCCCAGTTACCAACACCTCCGCGCCCGCCCGGTCAAATCCACCGAACTATGTGCAGTAAGTCCACAACCTTGACTATTTTAGCAGGGGCCGGTTTAGGGTTGTTGGAGCCCTAAACCTCGTGCGCCACTCGCGCGAGAAGCTGCGAGGGCTTCGGCCCGAGGGCTCGCGGGACCGGCCACGGAAGCCGCTAGGATAGCTGGACTGCCGTGGCGCCATTGGCCGTTGTTTATCATTGTTCGTTCCAAGTTTAGGGTTCCAAGTGTCTCTGTAGTCGCGGACAGCCTCGCGAGTGCCACCTCACGGACTGTGCATTATGGGATGCGGGATTTCTCCTCGCCATGTCAAATCTCGAGCTGGCTGATTCCGGCCTCCGACTTGCCGCTGGCCGATGGTTCTGGGCGTTCGTGATTTTCCATAGAGCGACCGATTTGCCAATCAGGTGGTGCGCATGAAGTTAGCCCAAGCCGGTGACGGGAGTGAAGAGATTTGGTTGGATGCCCCCCCTCGTGTTAAAAGGTGGGCACTTGCATAAAGCTTGGTCGACGAAGAGGCCAACCGAACTCGGATAATGTTCGTGAGAGCTGCTGGGTGATGTGACCAATGGCTCTCTGACAGGTCTCCCTCATCGAATTGTGCCTCACTATTCAACTCATCTGCCTCAATCGCCATCGTAATGGTCAGAAAATCATACCAAATGAGCAAAGTACCACTTGACCACTGCAGGCCAGCTTTAACTACCACTTTGACCCAGGGTGCTTGCTTGCTTGCATTTTCCATAAGTGCATGGTACTGTAGATTTTTTCTGCAGATTCGAGTGAAGTTCAAGAGCTTAGAGAGTTGCCCGGCTCCTTCCAGTTCCTCGATCATACACCGTGAGCCGAACGTTTCTTTCTAATCATGGGCCAGACTTCTTCTATGGCCGACATTGACTAGGGCTGCTAAGCATACAGCAAATAATTCACCTCTGCGTGGAGACGAATGGGGTTATACTCGCTATTCATCCTACAGCCACTTCTCATGTTCTCAATCACGAGCGTTGTGGGCGCAAATGGATGTGCGCAAGGCTATCGTGTTCCCTTCAGCATAAATTGGAACTAACCATAGCACGCAGCTCACAATTGCCACAACAGTCATTGATCATCTGCCAGAACAAGTTTCAACAAACCCAGGCATAAGTCAACAGTTCACAATACAGAATCCATAACCCGACTATTCTGAGCAGTCGTAGCTCTGGATCTTTCTCTAAACCCTAACTTCAACAAAATCATTTGTACAGAACTTGTATTGGGCCCGAGTACATGACGCTACGGACATAGCGATAGTGTGAGCGGGATTCGCTGCCTTAGGGGGATCTGAAACGTAAACATTGAGATTTATTAGACAACTTACTTGATATCTAAAATCTTTCGCTGTAAATGTCTAGATAGACTAACGAGTTTTTTATATTTAAAGGATAAGTGAGTTGACTGTAATTTGGTCTACATTTAAAATCTTTCGATTAATTTCAACACCACTTGAAAACGTTTCTAGTGGAAACAATTGTCTTTATTCGCACTATATCACAAACTAATATGCAGACTTTCTGTACAGTGATCATAGGATTCAAACTCACTATAAGGATATTATATAGGCAAGAGAGGTCATTATCATCAGATTTTATTTTTTTAATAAGCAACAAAATCTAGACATCTAGCTTGAGAGGATTTAGCGAGTTGTCACAACAACAAAAAAAACGCTGTAGCACGAGGGTGATATGCATGTAATTTTGCACCCTAATCCTCGTAACAAATTCTTAACATTGTTTAACAATTTAATATGCATAGCATTGTGTAAAATTAATACTCACAATATCAACCCTAAAATCACCACATGAAGAAAAACTCTCAACATTGAAATGAAATACTGTGTTATTCTTTTCTCAAAATTGGGTATTGTACGTTATCTCCAAGTATTTTGATACAGAATATCCTGAAAAGTAATACATATATTCTCTTGACTTTTTTTCACTTTGATATCAATTTAATTAGCCAACGTCTTTAATTCATCATCATCCCTTACATTTGTACAATCATCGCTACTTAATTGTCATCATCTCATACACAGGTATTTGTTCTACGGCATCGACACAGACAGTCTAAAATTGCCACCCAAAAATCTTGATCACGATTGACATCTAATGAATACATATAGTTGTTCCAACTAAATCTTCTGCAGTATTCTGTTTCCTTACTTGTCTGCTCAACCCATATATAATTTGATGAAATGAACACATACATTTAAATGTCTCACTTAAATCATTCTTTGAAATCTTCTATAGTGTTGCGTCCACTTAATGATGGAGCTACAATTGAAAAATGAATTAGTAATTAGTCATGTTTTGCTAACTATAAGTTTACAATTCACGAATAAAGACCCAATTTCACTAAATTTTGTCGAATATACCTTCGCGTCTTCTCTTCACTATCCAAGAGCTCTTAAGTTCCCTCGAAATTTGTCTTCGTTGTCCATTTTTTTACGATTTGCTTGGCCAAGCGAATACCAAACGTAAAGTAATCTGAACCGTTATATCATCCCTTAAAGGAATTTCATTTTCCCAATCTTTTCGAATGAATTGGATCGTAGAATCCAGATACCTGTATATCATGAAATGTGTTAAATACCGAGATGATGGGACAATATTTGCCTTCTCCATGGTTTGCAAAGTGTAACGAACTTGAGAGATAGAAATGCAAGATACTATGTCATCTAGATAACATACATTATATCAGAATACTTTCTTCCATTTTTTCTAATATGAATTTTGGAAGAAACATTCACAATTAATTTAGTCTGATACGTTTGCGAGTATATCATTCGAAAATCTCGATGAAGAAAATATTTTATTTCACTTTGTCAGTGAGAGTATTCGTGATCTTGCTAAGCCTTCATCTTCACTTTCTGACGTGTAATGATGGTACAAAGTGAAGACTGCGTAGTCATTTCGTTGCGATGGAAATTAAGTAATCTGACGACTTTTATTTTATTGACACAGCTTGGGTTTATAAGGAGGTCAACCTAAATTGTAATAATGATCCATATATACTTTAAAAGTCAATTAAATGAAGATATTTTAAAGTTTCAATATAAACATCGTGATTTAATCATAAAACTATAAAGATAGCTCGATATGTTGAGATACGTATAAAGAAATGGTAGATTTCTAATTTAAAAATACGTCTTGATATTTTTAAAGTTAACTTTCAACATCACAGGTGAACCAAACCACGTTCAAGACAAGAAATCTTTTTACATTACTCATGAGAAACAGAATCCGATCCCAATGGCAATTGAATAGAATTTTTCGATATACATACTACGAATATAGTCCATACTAGATTTACACAGGATTAAAGCACTATAATTACTTAAAAATGTAAAATTCCAGTATTTTGAGAATAAATTTTTTAAATGAGTTTCCTCACACATGACGAAAAAATGATTTGATTTTCTGAAACAGTTGATTGTTTATCATCTTCAGATTTAATCCTAATTCATTCGAAAAGCCCGAAATCAAGATTCTAAATATAATGTATCCAAAAATTTCCCATATCTATTATTATTTGTAACCATGGTTATACCAAACTTGAAAAAACACAATTTACAAGATTTGAGAGGATAAATATATGTAGAATATGTATATGTATATGTATATATAATCTTATATATATAAGGCTTTTATAAATAAGACATCTATGCATGGAATAACAATTTAAAATTTGGACATTGTTCAGCACGTTATCAATATTTGATGCTTTAATAAAATAAATTTCAGAGAGTAATTTGATATTTGACCTTGAAGAGTTAGTTTACAGAAAAATAATAATTTATCTAGAGATTTTTGTGTAGAATTTCATGCTATGAAGTAAATGTTAACACACTTTTATTAAGAAGAGATTTATTTTCCATTGATGGATTATTTACCAAATGGTGAAATCTATCTGCAATTGAAGCAAATATGAATCATTCCTTAACGCTTGGAATTTTCAGTTATTTATACATTATGTTCTACAATATCATTATTGAAAAATTTTAACCTTAATGACAAGTTTGTTTAAAATTATCATCAAAATTTAACAAAGTTATTCATGTTTTAAATAATTATGACTTGAAACACACTGTTAATATGGAATGAAATGTTATGGAGCATTTGAAACATTTAAAATTATAACTCAGCAATTAGATTAAAACTAAATACTTACGGTCGCTGATATTTTTTGTAGTTAATACTCCTTCAGGTTTAAACAACGATTTATTTGATATCGAAAACTTGTTGTAAAAAATGGACATACAAATTCTTAAATTTT